CAAGTACAGATCAAAGAGCACAAATGTCCGTGCACAGGAGACACACTAAGGCCCTGCAGACTGTTTCCAGAGCCGTTGCACACCGTTGGCAAGTGCACCCAGCAAACTGTCTGATTCAGTGGACAGAACAGCTGCGCGGGCGTGATCATCACTGACTCCAGTCTGAGATGCTCCTCTCAGAAACCCTGGGTTTCCGGTCTAGTTAGCCTCCTTGTGTCTTTGCCCCCAGGTCACAGGGCAGGTGTTTTGGGTCTCCTCCAGAAGCAGACAGGGGCTAAATCTTCAATCTGCTAACTGTAATGAACTGCTCAGATACAGGCTCCCCTCGGACCCGGCCTCGCCTGCGCCCCTCCACACCTCCTGAAATGGCATTTCCAGGCCTGAGGGCTTCCTCTGCTCGCAGAGCTGATAAACTCGACTACCAGAGAAGAAAGCAGCCAGTGGGGGAACTGCTGCTACTACACAGAAATATGGGGCCCATTGGAAGAGTGAGCAGCACCCTAGAATCCTGGGACCTCGGGCCTCAGGCTCCCAGGGAGGTGACTCTTGGGCTCTCAGGGCCTTACCAGTCTTGGTGCCTCTGTGCTGTCCCCAAGTCCTACGGTCAAGCTGCAACATGACCCAGGCTGGGACCCCTGTGACGGGAGACCAGGCGCTTCCCAATCTGAGCATCTTGGCAAGGGGAACTGCGGGTGTTCGCGAATCCTCCCCATGCTCTTTCTTGTGTGTGGCGCCAAGACAAATTAAATATAAAATCATTTTCTGTCATTTAGGCAAACCCTATTCCCACAGTTCCTAAATGCACACATTATAAATAAAACATAAACCCATCCCGATCTGATTGAAGCCTCTGCTCTCAGGGAACGGCACCAGAAAAGCCGCCAGTCACCTGTGTCCCCTCCTGCTAGGTGAGCAGGGATCCCTTAGAGGCCTCGGGGGTCACTGCAGGACCTTCTCCTGACAGAGGTCTGTCCCTCCACAAGCAATAAACCTCACAACACCCTTCAGGAAAATTCCCCTAAAGCCATTTATTTGCTTCTAGAAATGAAGTTCTCATCAGCTTGTCAAAGGATCAACAAACCTTACAAATCATTTAACCCCAATTTGACATAGAATAACCAAGGTCCAGAGATATAAATATTTTGTCCATGGTCATCAGCAGCATTCCAACTGGAGGATAAGAAAACTCGAGTTTGGAGCGCCTGGGTGGCTCAGTCAGTTAAACGTCTGCCTTCGGCTCAGGTCATGATCCCGGGGTCCTGGGATCGAGCCCCATGTCGGGTTCCCTGCCTGGCGGGGAGTCTGCGTCTCCCTTTCCCCCTGCTTGAGCCTGCCTGCTCTCTCTCTCTCCTTCTCTCTCTCAAATAAATAAATAAAATCTTAAAATAAAAAAAGAAAAGAAAAGAAAAAAGAAAACTCCAGTTTAAGAAAACTCATGCCTAAGATTTTCACGGTTCCAAACAGGAAATGTTGCAAATGAATATCCCTATCCTGAAAATATTCATAATGGACAGTCTTTTAAAAATATGTCTGCAAAGTGAAATTCCGTGTAGCACCTTAGCATCCCACCCATGCCTCTTAGAGAACTAGCATATGGAAAACCTGGGTGCCAAGCCAATCACAAATGTTCTTCCGCACTGCGAGGTCTGAAGACTGAAGGCCGGCCGTGTCTGCGTGGCCGCCTGTTAGCTGCTGACCAGTGCCAGCATGCATCAGTGTGGATTCAAGTGGATTTCCCCAAATCCACTGCTTGCCCCGAAAATACAGCATGGAAAAATCACAAACCCTGCCACATCATAAGCAGCCATTTAGGGATGGAGTCAGTATCTCCCTGTAGTTTTACACATTCCGTAACCAATTTTTCACATCAAAATTTGTGACACATGGGCTGACAGCAGGACAGAACATTAAAAATCAGGACCTCCCTGAGAAATCCGGGCCATACGGTTGCTATGCCGACACCCCACAATGCCAAACAGCGCCTCCAAGGTCTAGAAGCAACTTGGCTGGCTTCGAATAGCCCAGACATTGTGAAGGCAGAGCTGCCCCCCTGGCCCAGGCTGTTAGGCAGACCCTCCCTTTCCCAGCTCTGCTCTCTGATTCCCCAGGGGAGTGATGATGACGCCTGTCTGAATTTTCTCAGCCTCTGTCAGCAGGGCTGGCCACATCATTCCCTAAGAATTTGAAAACCCACATGCAGCGTCCTGGCCCAACTAGACAGAGACATGTTTTGGAATGGCAAGACCAGTGAGAGGTTCACCACAGCGTTCCGGGAGAAAGCAATCCTCAGCTGCACCTGCCCCTTTTTGGCTGGTCATAGGGTCCAACTCTCGGAGAAGATGAACATGCATTCCCCTATCTCTTTGGTTATGGTCAGGTTGGAGGCAGGAACAAAGTACTGGGGGGAGGAGGGTATGAAGCTCGTCTGCTCCCAGAGACGGGCAGAAGTCCTACTTCATTTGCCTAACAGGTACTTATTAAGTCTTGCTGTGGGCATCAATATGGAGATGTAAGAAACTTCCAGCATAGTTCCTGCGTGACAGCGTGTATGACTAAGAATCCTCCTGAAGTGAAATACCTTGAAAGGTAGGAAGACAATGCAAGGCTGTGTCCAGGGAGGTGTGTGACTGGGGACCAATGCCTATGGAACAGACACCCAGGGCTAAAACTGAAGAACAGAGAGGGAGCTGGCCATGCCCCTAGGTGGCCAGAGAACAGTCTACAGCTCACTCCCCGGAACTCCCACTCTCCCTCTCTTTCTGCACCTGCACTCCCTGGCTCCCGGGATCTTCCTGATAATCCTGTACACTTTAAACTTAGCTTCTAGTTCACAGCCCTGCTCCAATCAAGTCAAACCCCATGGGAACGAGGAGCGGGCCAGAGGATGTTCACCGGCACCCCCCCATGACCTCCAATTTCCACCCCTCAAAACAAGTGCCACGTGCGTCCAGCAGAGCCCACCCCACCATTCCAGGGCTCTCGGTCTGAGCTGCCTCCCCAGCAGATCTCAGAGGGCAAGGAGGAGTGAGGATAGGTTCAAGAGCAAGGTCAGGATTGGGAAGGGCAGACAACTGTGAGAAGACCCAACCTGGGCTCTGCTCCAGCCTGCAGTTTCCCTGAGCTCTCTTCCTTTCCATTCCTCCCTCCCCTCCATCCTCCCCTCCTCCTCCCCTTCCAGCTCAGACCCTCCACCCCGCAGGTCAACAGAGTGAAGGACAGAACATCTGGACAGCCTGCCTCTCCCCTGCGCTGCAAGCCCACCTACCCTGAGACCAGGGCTGGCCCTCGAAGGATGTAAGAACGGGCTGCTCTCGGATGGGTCCATGCCTGAGCAAGCTCTCTGCCTGTCTGGGGCCACTACTGGTTTGGCCAGTTCCCACCCCAATCTGTCAGTCTGCCCAGATCCCAGTACCCTGGGGTCTTTACACTGGAGGCTTTATCCTCATCAGCCGAATTTCCGTCCAAACATCCTCAAGTGCTTTGGAAACAGTTCCTAGTGGCAGGGACCCTCAGCTCAGAAGGGAACACTCCACCGAATCAGGCTCGCCGGCAGAGTTCAACCGGACAGGAATCTGGGAGTTGGGGGAGGGAGGCTGGGGAAAACCCATAAACCCCAAGGTCTCCTCAGGCAAAGCTAGGAAATATGGTTCCTCTGCAGGGGTTTTTTTCCTTCTTGCCGGGCGGGGAGGCGGGGGCTATTGACAAGACATGGCATCTGGGGCAGGTTGGGAATATGAGAACACTTCCACACCGACAGCGGCCTCCACCATATTCCTGGGGCTCAGCTGCCTCTGCAGAAATATCCCAGATTCTACTTCACACAAGCCTTCGCCCTCCTGAACCCGCACCTCCCTCCCGGAGGAGCTCCACACTCCTGCCTCCGCAGGCCCAGATCTTTCCCATCAGAATGGCCACCCTGCTCTACTCTCCCACCCTCAGCCCCCACACTTTGCTCTCCCTCCTCCTGGTCCTCTTCTGGTCAAGCCGCCCCAGCCCAGCAGCTTGTCCCGAGGGTCGCCCAAGGCTCTCGCCCGCCACCGGCCCCGGTCGGAAGAACGCGGCCCGCCCGACCGCGCCTCTCTGCCGGTCCCAGAGCCGCCCGCCTCAACAGGTGCCCCTGCCACACAGGGCTGTCACCCGGGGCTCCGGGCGGAGGCGGCGACAGCAACGCCCCCTGCAGGGCGGCGGGGGGGTCCGCACGCCCCAGCCCCAGTCCCCGGAGCGCCTCGCGCCCCGGCAGCGCCGCGGAGGCCCCCGCCGTGCTCTGCCACCTTTGTTTCCCCGCTGGCACATCGCGGAGCTGACCTCGAGAGAGGGACTCTCCCAGCCCTAGCGCACACACTGCCAGCTCGCCCGTCGTGAGGGACCCTCGTGTTGGGGTGAAGGGCGCATACGGGAAGAGACCTTTCCCGGACCCAGAGAATGCCGCGGGTGTTAGTGGGGGAGTCCTCCGTGCCAGAGAAGCAAGTTCAAGTTGATCCGGGCCGAAAAGGGGGCTCAAAGCCGGGCGCAGCCGCTAGCGACCCTGCCTTACCCAGCGCCCCCACCCCACGTCCTTTGCCCCCCAGAGACTAGAGAGGGGGTGCGCACCGCCAACTAAGCGCTCAGCCGCGCGAGGTTCCCGCTGCCGGCTCGCTGCGCGCACGGTGCAGCCGCCTTCCTGGGGCGGGCGAGGTGCGGACAGTCCCTGGCCCCCGGCTCCGGCGGCGCAGTGCTGAGAGAGCCACGTTCCCAGTCGCGCGCGCACGCAGGGCCCACCAAACTTGCAGCACTTTCTCCCAGCCCCCACCCGCTGTCACCCTCCCTCCATCCTTGCGCCCTGGCCCGGCTGGCCCGACAGAGGTTGCCATAACAACGGACAGGAATGCTCCAACATATACAAAGCCGGCAGGGCGCGGCGGGCACGCAGCCCCCGGCCCCGCGCCCTCTGCAGCCGCGCGGGGCTAAGGACGCGCGCCGCGGCTCCCCGGCCGGCCGCCTGGCGCGCAGGGCGTACTCACAATGAGCGGGATGGTGCGGTCCTCGCGGAGCTGCTCTGGCCTCCCGCCGGCCCTCTGCGCGCCCCGGCCGCCGGAGGATGCTGCGTGGGCTCGGTTGTCCTGCCATAAGTAGTAGAAAGTGCCCAGGATCCAGGCAACGGTCAGGATGGCGATGGCATTGGCGCGGATCTTCCTCATGGTGGGCGGGCGGACGCCCCGAGTGGGGGCCCGGGCCGGCTTGCTCTCGGGGCCGGGGTAGGGGCGCTCGCAGCCCCAGATGTTTGTTTTCGCTCGCGCCTGGCTGCTCAGTCCTGCAGAGCAGAAAAGGGAGAGAGGTGGGGGGTGGGGGGTGATAGGGAGAGACAGGAGCGCGGAGCGATCCTCACGGTCCTAATGCCCTTCAGCCCCGAGCGCGCGCGTCCCCCGGGCGCCCATTCATTCGCGCGCAGAGCCCGCCCCGCGCTCCAGCCCCCGCCGGCCGCCCGGGCCGCTGCGCACGGGGAGAGGAGCACGGCGGGTGCGAAGCGGCGCGGCAGCAAGGCCCCGCGAGCCTGACGCCCGCGGTGGAATGGCGACGGGCCAGAGCCAGCCTCCGCTCCCACCGCTCAGCGACCGAACGCCCGGTGGCTGCCCCCGCGCGGCCCTGGTCGGTCCCGCCTACTTCCACACCCCCCGCCCTCCCCCCCCCGCCCGCGCCCCGGCCCAAGCGGCCCTGAGTCACCCGCTGGAGATGCGCGACCCCGGCCCGGGCCCGCGCCGCGAAGCTGCAGTTCTGGGCTGCGCTCGGAACTGCGCTCTGGCGCGGGGTTTAAGGTGTGTTCTGCGAGGCCTGGGGAAGGGACGGCTGGGCGGGAGGAGAGTCTGGAGTTTGCACGGGAATCCTCCGCAGCCTAGGATTCCGAGCCGCCCGAGGGCCCGCCTGGAGGAGGGATTGGAAGCTGGTGCACTTGACGTTCGAAGAGAGCGGAGGGGGTGCGACTCTGCTTCACCGCCAAAGAAAGAATAGGGGTACACATTACCCACATCTTCCATTGGCCTGGGGCTCCCAGCTTTCATGAGTCTTCCCTCCAGGCCTTTCATTTCCCCTGAACAACCGTGAGGTATAATCACCGCTATTTGTCAGGGAGAAAGGAGACCAGAGAGGCTGGAAGATTGGCCCGAGGCCACACGACTAATTAGTGGGCAGAGCCCAGTCTAGAAGCCATCTCTACGTTTGCCCTTTCCACAAAGTGCAAAACACGGTGGTGTGAGACACGGACACAGAAATCACGGAGATTTTGCCCCAGCCCCGGAGGCATCGAGAATTTTCCGTGTGAACTGCTCATATTCAGAGCAGAAGGCAAGGTGGGCTAAATGAGTTCTAGGAGAGCAGCAGTGTCGGGCCCAGAGCAGACTCACAGCGAGTAGATGTTACATAAACTAAGCCGGGATCACAGAGGAAGAAATAATGTATTGCAAGGTAGTCTTAGAGCACGCTTCTCACAGAAGGTGGATAAAGCTTTGAATAAATTCTTAAGAGACAGGGCAGGGCAAGGTATTAGATGCATGAATAGCCAGAGCAAAGGTCCAGAGGATGGCAGTGCTTGATGTGTTCCAGAAAAGAGAGCTGCCTGGTATTGCTGGGGCCCAGGATGCTGGAAAGGACTTGGGAGTTGACTTTGGGCAGGCTGGGCCCTGGAATGCCAGGGGCAGAGTTGGCAGGGAGTTTGCTTCTTGCTGATGCTGCTGGACCCTGGCTCTCACAGAGAGTCCCGGCCCACATAATGTCCCTGACTCTAACTGAAGCTGCCTCAGGAATCAGGCAAAGGTGAGGTCACAGCTCATGCCTTCCCTAGCCACCCCCATCAGCAACCCCCATCAGCACCGTTTCTCCAACATGCAGGACTGAACCATGCGTGTAATAGTTGCTCATTCCGTTTCTGTTGGAATGAGGTAAAATGAAGAAAGAAAAGCCTAACGAGTTTTTGCTGCAGAAAGATCATCGTTGCCACTGCAGTACCTACCCTCTTCCTCACTCAGAACACGAACCGTGAGGACATGTTGACAAGTCCAGAAATGGCCCCACTGAGAATAGGACCCTGGAAAGAGAGTGTACAAAGAGGGTCTCACAGAGGGTAGCAGGGAATCCACGGCCTAAGCCAGGTGGCAGTCAGGAACAACAGGAGATGGGTGTGGAGGTGCCACTGGCCCAGGAGCCGTGGGCCAGCCTTGCTCTCCCGGGGTCTCTTGCCTGGGGAGTTTAATTAGACTGCCATAGAGGCCAGGATTCATTTCCAGAGATAGAGAAAATCACTGTCAAGCCATAGCCTGGTTTCCACAGGAATCATGGCACTGATAGTGGTCATGTCCTCTGGGGGAAGCCAGGAAAACCTTGCTGCTTAAGAGTCAGGACCCAAGGGCATTTCCAAACAAGAAAATGTGATGGGGGGCGCCTGGGTGGCTCAGTTGTTAAGCGTCTGCCTTCGGCTCAGGTCATGATCCCAGGGTCCTGGGATCGAGCCCCGCGTCGGGCTCCCTGCTCAGCGGGAAGCCTGCTTCTCCCTCTCCCACTCCACCTGCTTGTGTTCCCTCTCTCGCTGTGTGTCTCTCTCTCTGTCAAATAAATAAATGGAATCTTAAAAAAAAATGCAAGGGAACTGCCCTCCTGTGCCCCACTTCCACACAGGCTCTCAGGTCAGCGAAGTGGAAAGACTTGGGGAATGGCTCTGTTGCCACAGGCTGCTTCTGTCAGCCCAGCCTGGCCTATGCATGTCTAGTTGCCTTTGGTCTTGAGAAAACCAGGTAAGAGGACATGGGATCCAAAGACATTACATCAACCCCCTAGTGAGAAGCTCCAAACTCACACTAGGCATGGGGAATGAAGCTGGAAATCAAAATCAGGCTGACGGGGTCTCTGATGGCTCGAGAAGAAGGGCTGTACGAGGAGAGGGAGGGAAGGAGGAGCTGGAATTTGGCAGGATTTTTGCATGTCTCACCTCTTACTCCCCAGGGGTCAGTGGTGAGGATGCTATGCCTCTGTACCAATTGTCACTCCCTGGTAGCTCTGTCTGGAACAGAAGGCTGTCTGCCCCCACCCATGCACCCCCATGCCACCACCACGAGAAAAACCCCATTGGGACATGATGTTTGACTTCACAGCCAGCCCTCCCTTAGATGGACGCAGTAAAATTCCCCCCACTCCCCCGAGAGCGGGGGTGGTGGGGTGGGGGTAAGGAGGCAGGTCATTACCATGCTCATTTGGCTGACAGAAATTTGACGTAGGCAGAGGTTAAGTGATGGGCCTCAAGTAACAGACACGTTGGAAGAGCCAGGAACTTGGGACTGCCACCTCAGCTACAGCCCATGGGTTTTCTTCCAGATTTGAATCCTAAATAGGTGCAGGGCTGAGGCTCAGCCCTCTCTGAGATGGATTTCAGTGTTCAGAGATGACAGTGAGCATTGTATCCTCTCTGGTCCTAGGAATGGAGTCCAGCGGAACCAGAAAATCAAAACGACACCAAGAGACTTGGTGTTGCCCAGCATTCACTGAACAAGAGCGGTAATAATAGCTGTAGTTCACTGGGTACCCAGCAGGTGCCAGCAGCCGAGCCGGCTCCTCACATCTGTGATCTCTGAAGCGCTACAGCCCGTAGACCTGGACCTGGTGAAAGCGGGTGGGCGGGTGACGAGAGCCATACAGCAGGGAAGAGGCGAGGCTGGATTTGAGTCCGTTCCCCACGCCAGTGTCTGGGCGCCAGGACAGGGCTTCTGAGCACACTGGGCGGTCTGCAGGGTGGTCAGAAGTTCTGTGTGCAGGGACCTCAAGCTCCCCACTGGGGCCTCCATTTTCTCCTCTGGAAGAGGAGGGATCCGGGGAGATGACCTTCAAGGTCCCTCCAACTGTGCCCTTTTGGACTGCTGGTTCCTTGGGCATTTTCTTCCAAAATGTGGCATTGCTCTTCACATGGGCCTTCTCTTTTAAAGCTGTCGAAGTCAGCACTCAGGTCAGCTGGGCAAAGCCATGTGCCCTGGGTGCTCCCAGAGGCCCCAGGGAACTCTCTGCCCCTGTGCATGTGATGTGGGGGTGGATAGCAGAGGGGAGGAAGGCTGTATATTTCGGGTGAGACCCTCGCTCAGGAGTGGGACCACCTGTATTCAAATGCTGGTTCTGTCCCGTATTAGGAGAGTGGCTTGGGCAAATTCTTACCCTCAGTTGCCTCAACTGTACGGGGTATTGACAGCCCTTAACTTGCAGCACTGTTGGGAAAGGTAGGAAATAAAGCATGTAAACCCCGGTGCTGGTAAGCCGCCCAAGCCCCCACCCCACGTCACCCCTCGTACAGGTATTGCCACTGGCTTCTGGATAAGGGGCTCTCGAAAGGCCTGCCCAGGGCACATGCGGGGGATTGCTCACCAGGGCTGCGAAGGAGGACAGACCTCAGACCGGCCCAACAAGGATGACTGTCTTGCCCCAGCAGGGGATGGCTGCGTGTCTCTTTAGAGCCTGTGCTGAGCAGCCTGGAGGGTGGCAGAGGCAGTGTGCAGGGCCCCGGCTGCTGCTGGGTGCCCATTCTTGCCAGCATACCCATCACCCTTGAGACTGCGTCAGCTTAGACACCTCTTGCCCAGTCTGCAGCTGCAGCAGGGACCCGGACGGTGGGTGAGGGGGACTGGTTAGACCGCCGTGTCGGCTCTAAGCAGAAAAGGAGGCAGACATGGTGAACAGAACGTATGTTACCAGGCAACAGGCACTGCGCCAAAGCGAGATCTCAGAATACTCACCATGACCCTGTGAGGAAGAGGGGTACCCTCTCCCTTGCACAGATGAAGAGAATGGTGCCTGCAGAGGTCCCCCAGCCATCAGTGGCACATACCGTCCCCACTGCCATCACTGAAGGCACCATGGAACCTAAGGGAACGTTATTTCTAAGCCAAGTTTCTTATAAACCATCAAGGAGAGAACCTGGCTCTTTGAAAGGAACTCCAGGAGCCTTAGCAGTCCTAGATCTCCTATTTGGCTTTTCAGATTGGTTTCTGCCACTGGGGTGTAAGCCCAATGAGGCCAGGAGCTCCCCATGGTCTCCCCAGCACTTAGAACAGCGCTTGGCATGTAGCCGCACATAGTACATGCTCAGTAAGGACTTGTTGCTGTCAGGAAGGGAAGGAAGAGGAGTGGGTAGCTGTGTGCAACATCGGTGCAGGACTGGAGCCCAGAGAAA